GCAGATTCGCTGCACGTCTATATTTACAGTGACGGTTCATTCCTGCATGAATCAGTGATTCTGACTAAATGATTCATAACAGCATGCGTGCTCCTTGCTCCTCATGGACTCACTGAAATATGTGTGCTTTTGTGTTCGTATGTTGAGTTAATTTGTGCAGGAGGAGAAGTGTTGAGTTCTGAGCAAATATGAGTTGAGAAGATCAAGGAAAGTTTGATTTCTGATTTGACTATTAACATGAGAGAAGCAGAACTGATCATCAAAAGCATTCAAACTCTGATCAAATGACAATCACATCCAGTGAGCAATCATCTGTGTTCAGATGTTCTTTAACATGAGACACCTGACGTCCGCCAGCTCATACATTCAGACCTGGATCAGACCTCCGTCACTGAACATCGTTAAACTCTTCAGTGTACCGACACACGGATCCTGTGATCACACAGTCCTCCAAATGTTGACTTCGTTAGCTCGTGGTGTTTGTCTGTTATCTTACACACTATATGGGCTGAAGAAGACATGAGCCTCAACATCTGCTCGCCGTGTGTTCAAACACACACTCACACGCACGCACGCACGCACTCACACACACATACACACACACACACACTCGCACGCACTCACACACACACACACACACTCGCACGCACTCACACACACACACACACACTCGCACGCACACGCACTCACTCTCACTCACACACACACACACTCTCTCACTCACACACACACACACACACACACACACGCGCACGCACACGCACTCACTCTCACTCACACACACACACACACTCTCACTCACACACACACACACACACACACTCACACTCTCTCACTCACACACACACACAAACACACACACACAAACACACACACACACACACACACACACTCACTCTCACTCTCACAGACACACAAAGACACACACTCACACTCTCTCACTCACACACACACACACACACACAGACACACACATGACAGCTCTTCACATGTCATTGTGTTCTGATCTGTGTTGTAGGTCAGTCACCTGTGAGCCGAAACTCAATCCACATCATTACCTAGAAAACAACCGAGCAGAACCGGACCAGAGAATACAGACGGCCTGTTCAAACATCAGAAACACAGACCTTCACCTGAACTCACATCAAACCCATCTGTCCACGAGAATCACAAGAAACCTGACACAATTCAACCCAAAAGAGAGAAATACAAAAATATATAAGAAATGAAGCCCAATTTTTTCCCCCATTAGGATGATTTGTTTACATGACAAGTATGCACATATCCACCAAATTCTCAATACTGTAATGCAAACACTTTAATTTTAATATTTGAATGGTCTTCTTTAAATCATAAAGTCTCTGTACAGTCCAATAATGTTTGCATTAAATGTATAACATTGTTAAATTTGTTTTTTTTGCATAATGAAAATGTAATGATAATATATAATGTTTGAGTATACTGAGAATTTAGAAGAATAAAAACTCCAAACTAAAACATCCTGATGTTCAATAACAGGAAATGGTCAATTATGTCGCAATCCAAATCATGCAAAAAATAGCCTTCACTTTCCTTATACAAAACATAATTTCTGAATTATGAGTCTGATATGTTCTTATCACATTTAAGCATCTTATATATCGTTTCCACACAGATCTGGACTCAAACCGCATCAGAATCTGGATTATATCTTCAGAGGCCTGCAGGGTTTCACCAATGCATTGTTGATTTCACACATTTACACGTGACACGAGATGCAAAAGCTAGCTGAACTCTGATATTCGGCTTTGATAACAATCTGCAACGTCAAACAGCTCGTTCTGGAGACAAAACCACATCAGATCTGAAGCGAATCAGCATCAGTAATATTAACAGCAGCTAAAAGTAGGCTTCGTTTTACTTGTATACAAAACACAATTTCTTATTTTTTTGGGTTGATCATGAATCGGACACGTTCTTATCACATTTAGGCATCTGATATGATGTTTCCACACAGACCTGGAGTCAAACCGAATCAGAATCTGGACTGCATCTTCAGAGGCCTGAACACAGTGAATCAGTTCCATATTTAAATCACATTTACATGCTTAGCTAAATATTTGGCTTTGATAACATAATCTGCAGTGTCAAAACAGCACGTTCCGGAGTCAAACCCACATCAGATCTGAAGCGAATCAGCATCAGTGATATTAATAACAGCAGCAGCAGCAGCAGCGAGCGGTTAATAAGACGCCCGTGATCTCTGCTCCCCATCCACCGACCCGTGTGTCTGTCCGTGATGTGTGTGTGTGTGTGTGTGTGTGTCTCACCCATCGCCTGACGCTCTTCTAGATGTTCATTGCGGATGGTCGCTCAGGGTGGAGGTGAATGCGCGGCTTTTGTTCGCATCGGAGCGGTCGGATGCGTCGCGGAGGGCGGATGATGCTTCAGTGACGCTCGGCCGGTGATGCGGGCGGATCGCGCTCGAGTCGGGCGTCCGCGTGTAAATCCATCCCGCTGCGGACGAAAGAGAAAACCACTCTCGGTGTGCGTCGACGCCTCGATCCGCGCCTGGTATCCGTTAACGGGAGCGCCGAGCCCGTCCGCGCTGCTTCTCTCGCGGTCTGTTTTCTGCTCAAATGACGCTCTTCCGCCCAGCAGTGATCGGTGTGTCCGTCGGTACCGGGGGCGCAGAGACCCGCAGCTCCGCCCTCCGGACCACCGACACAAACACACACCGAGTGCGACAACCAGCGGATCACTTCAGCATCATCCAGCTCTTCATCCTCCACACGAGCGCGTTATTCACCATAAATCATCACTGATTCATTCTTTAATCGCGTTCATATGCGATGCGATCGTGGTCTTGCGCGTCTGTCGCTCCGTTGTTGAAGCAAACTCTCATCTCACATTAAATGGACCTCGCATGAAAGCGAATTGGCTTTAAAAACATCAAATGTCCCTACTGTATAATTTCCCAGCAAACGTTCTGGCAGGTTCTTACGAACCAACGTTCTATCTGCAACATTAATAGAACGTTCGGCAAATGTTCTCAGAACGTTAGCACAAAAACGTTACTTATACATCGTTTATGGAACGTTTTTTTGTAACATTGTTGTTCGTCTAAGGTGGTTTTGAGAAGACTCAGAAGTAACGTTCCCATAATGTTCGCAAAAATAACCAAAAGCTGGATGCTCTGAAAACATGTTTAGAACATATGAAAGATTATTAAGTCATCTCATTCTATTTTCACAATTCTTATGGCTGTATCGGTGACATTCCTCAATATCAGTCATTCGACCCTGTTACCAAAGTTATTTTGAGAAGAATGATCAAAGATTTCGCAAAAATGGCAAACCACCAAGAAGTTAAACGGGTTTGAATATGATAAATAAATTAAATTAAATGTAAGTTTTAAAACAGTTAAATCTTTGGAGGTTGACAATCAACTCTGATCTTCATGAAAACATTCAAACCTGTCAAGTTTGAACAATCTTGCAGCTTTACTTTGGCGAAACAGGAATGACCTGACAGCACGGATTTGGTTTGCACTGATCGGCACGCGCCAGACAACCTCACACAAGAACAGAAATCTGTATTTTTATAAAGCTTTTCCATCAGAGTCTCTGATGATGCATCATTACAGTCTCACGTGTTTTCCAGGAAATTTAAAACAAGAAGTCTGAGAGATCCGTAAATTCACTTCTTATAGCGCCACCTTGTGGTCAATTCAAAGACCAAAACTGGTGCAAGACTTCTTGATGATTAAAAGCATCTTTAGATTTTTTTCCACACATTCTTCACATGATATATTTTGTTAATTTATATTTAAAATATAAAAATTAAAGCACTTGACAAACTAAAATTAAATTGAAAACTTAAATTATATATATATAAAAAGTTAATACTAATAAAAGCATACTCTAAAAATATATAAATAATCCTAAACTGTTGCAAGGCAGAAGAATGGCACATTTCTGACTGTAATTTTAAAATAGACAAGTCACAGTTTTACCACATATTAATAGGACATCTGTCACAAATCAATTCTGTTTGATTCCCAGGTTTTGAAAGATTGAGTGGAAATAACCCTGATTATGAACCTGTAGAGTCAGACGACGGCTGCGAGCTTCAGATCTGAGCGCATCAAACTACCTTCAGTGTCTCTGACGCAAGAGAAACCAAACCACAATGTGGAGCTGAAACGAGAGCTGTTTATTAAAGGAAGACAGTAAAAACTCACACACACACACACACACACACATCAATGAGACGCGCTCAGAGTCAGTGTGTGATGATCTCATGCTGATTAAAACACACACTCATTGTGTATGCTGGAGGATTTGCTGCTCAACAGATCCTGAGCTCACTGACAAATATCTGATCTTCCTTTACAGAGAGCGAGCGTGATTGAAAAGTGAAAGTGAACAGCGAGCGCTCATTCAGAAGAGATTTAAATACTCCGCATACTGAAAATTGTATGCAATATTAAAATGTTTGCGCTAGACTGGACACAAAAATCGCGAGAGCGGGCGATAATGGTCAGAAATTCAGCGGGAGAGGGATTAAGAAAACAGTCTCTCGCAGGGTTCGAATACAAAAACGCACACGATGAATGGCGACTAGAAAGCAAATTAAATGACATTTTGGCCGATTTAGAAATCCCAGCCGGACGCATTTTTTAGAATGCGAAAAGAGGACTTATCTGGGAAAAAAGAGGATGTATGGTCACCCTATTAAAACTAGAATTTCCCCTTTGTGCATATTGTAAGACAATGAAAGTGTTTTTTGACCTTGCATGCATGTCAACCTGTTGTTGGGGACTCCCAAAACCAAATTATGAACCTTTCATAACCCATAAAAGGGGCACTTTAATGCTGAGGTCTCGCTCCATTTACACAAATAACCTAATTTTCAATATAAATCAGTCATTTGAGTAGTATTGAGAGTTTTACAGAATCTTCTACTGCTGATCAGAATGGTGTACGGCGAGTCAGTTGGTGCCGTGACCCTGCTCTGGTTCAGTACTCCTGCCGCTGGTACCCCGCTGACCCATCAAACACGCCGTCGCTGCTCTGCTGGTACGACCCGGTTCCTCCCGGACTCTCCAGAGCGTCTCCAGCGCTGTAAGAGCTGTACGGCACGGTGCAGGCGTCCTGGCTGGGGTCGGTGTAGTCCTGCAAGAACAGAGCCGAATCTGCACCCAGCTTATACCTCTGAAACGCTAGGAAGGCCTGAGTGGCCTGATGATGCAGGTGCGGATGAAGGAGGCTTTTAACATGGGAATGATGGATTAGGGTTCAATGCAGCGTTAAAAAAAGACAATGTGGGGAAGGATGAGGTTGTGAAGGATGGAAAGAAAATATTAGGGATGCACGATATATCGGCCACCATATCGGTATCGGAACACACTTCTGCCAGAGACTGATTGTTTAACTTTACTCAATGCAGAGCAGCGCATTACATCAGTATGTTTTCACTGACTGCCGAAAACATGCTGAATCCTGACCTGGAGCTGCGGTAAAGATCTGAGCGGCATGTAAATGTTAATTCTGCATCTCAGTTCTGATTCTGAGTCTTTAATGAGCTTCTGAGATGGATTCATTCCTCGAGATGACCGCTGAGGCTCGAGTCTCACACACACACGGAGGGAACGTGTTTATTCATGTGTGTGAATGTGTGTGTGTGTGTGTGTGTGAGTGAGTGAGTGAGTGAGAGCTGTTGTAAATGATGCTACAAAGTAACACACACCTTTGATTACATTTGTGTGTTGCTCGGCAACCACTTTGTAGCAACCACAACTGTTTCTGAGGAGCTACATTGTTTGGTGGAAGAATACTGTGTTTATTAATATCATTACACTTTATTTGCTCTGTTTTATTTTGTGAAACCTTACTACGTATATGGAATAACCGTTTTATTCAGCAATAATCAATAATCAATAAAGCAATAATCCCCGAGAAGCTGTGGTTTACAGTGAATTTATAAAGGCTTCTTGCTTTAATTGAACATTTTAGGAACACTTCAAAACAATGTTCCCCTAATGTTTATTTAACCTCAGTTTGTCGCCTGGGTTAGTTCTCTTACTTGAGTATTACAGGTCATGTGTGAAGATCTACCTGAGGTTCCCACATCGGCCAGCACAGCTTTCTTGCGCTCTTTGACGCTGCTGATCTGAGGGAAATAGGCGTCTAAAGCCAGGAAGGCCATGCAGCAGAGGAAGGCCAGCGAGCCCATGCTGACCGCGTAGTTACAGGCGTTCTGGTTCCGGTTAAAGATGCAGAACTGCTCGACCTCATCAGGCCTGTTGATGTAGCCCTCGTTAGCGATACAGCCGAAGATCACCAACGAGAAGAGCTGAGGAGGACAGAACACACAGATCACACGCTCTACAAATGAGCAGAACAGGAGTCATCAGTTACCATTGTTTCTACTTCTGACAGTTACAGGACCTAAAGTCAAAACTTCATAATAACATTTGATTTCTTGAGAAATGAGCAAATGGAAACTTTAGAGGAGACCAGCTCTTGGCACATGATCAAAATGTGTTGTGGTTTTAATATAAAAGGACATTAGAAACAAGTTTAAAGCAAGTGAAACGAGGAAACTGTAACAGTTTGGCCTCTTCAGCTGAAAGAGTTAAAAAACAGAAACACACAGGTGTTAAAGACCAAGCAGAAACACGCCGAACTTCCTTTTTTCTCTCATCAACAAACCAAGCGTGCTGAGCATCATAGTGTGAATCTCACTGCGGTCAGGTGCCGTGAACTAGCGACGAATTACTGGAGTAACAAGCAAGCAGCACGTTTGTGTGATGAATATCGAATAACTTACATTTTAGACTCAATATTACCTAGTCTGTGTTTTTGCTCGGCCACAGCAGAACCACTACAACACAAGTTGTGTTTAGTCTCTGAATGAATCAGTGTTTTTGAATGAATCTGTTGAATGAATGATTCAGTGACCCAATCATCAAGACAGTCAATTATTTCATTCCCGCAAACTCATTCTTACACACACACACATGCCAGGCTCACTTCTATTGTGTCTTTCTTCAGCATCTTGTGTCAGAACCGTTACACTTAAAACCACAAGACCCGTCCTGTGTGAACGACCCTCAGGTCCTGCTCTGATGAGATGAGACGGACAGATGAGCAGAAGAACAGAGATATTTATAGACACTGAGACTCTCTGTTCTGGCAGGAATGGAAAAGAACAAGCTAATTACATCCCAAACACAAGCATAAATCATGCACAAAACAACCACACTCTGAACGTGTTTGCACTTAAAAATATACGGATCATTCTAATCGAGAACAATCTGAGCTCTGTCCCTTTAATGAAATGGTATTCATTATGTATCTAATATGATTCAATAGTCATAGCATTTTAATCTCATAACTAGTGTTACAATTACCTCACGGTTATGATGAAATCAGCTTTATTCACACAGGACCAATACAGAAAGCAGCTTCACAGTAATAAACTGAAAAATAACAGAATCAATCATGCAAACTTCATCAAATCTGAGACAAAAAAGAACTCAAATCTGCCCACATCTGAACCTGAACGGATAGGATTTGGACACTGGATACAGGTTTGCGTACACACACACAAACACACTCACTCACTCACTCACACACACACACTCACACACACACACACACACACACACACACACACACACTCACACACTCTCACTCTCTCACACACACACATATACACACACACTCTCTCTCTCTCTCTCTCTCTCACACACACACACACACACACACACACTCTCTCTCTCTCTCTCTCTCTCACACACACTCTCTCTCTCTCTCTCTCTCTCTCACACACACACACACGTGTTTTCCTATCATGCAGTTTTCATTGACGCATGTTGTTGTTATACTGAGCTAATGATATTTTCTAACCTCTGAAGCCCCACACAAACTCTATCTTACCCCTGACTAACAGCACTTGATTGCAACAGCATGCATTTCAATCAAAAGCACCATCAGATGCTGTTTAGCGCCAGTCTGCAGTTGCTCCTGATGATAACGGTACGTACCCAGGACACGATCCGGAGGCCGGTGTGCCGCTGCTGGATGAACGCGAGCGGCTCGAAGGCTCCACCGGCTCTGCTCGCGCCGTACGCGCCCCGCTGCATCATGACAGCTCTCTCTCTCTCTCTCTCTCTCTCTCACGCTCTCTCTCTCTCAC